GGGAAGGGAAGGGAAGGGAAGGGAAGGGAAGGGAAGGGAAGGGAAGGGAAGGGAAGGGGAGAATGGCCCTGGCCGGGCAGCTCAGTTGGTTAGAACTTTGTCCCAATACGCCAAGGTTGCATCCGAGCATATGCAAGAATCAACCAACGAATGCATAAATAAGTGGAACAACAAATCGATGTTTCTCTCTCTCTCTCTCAAGTAAATAAATATAAACTTAAAAAAAGAAAAAGAAAAAGAGAGTTCATTTTAATTTTCACAAAAACAAGCACCGCTTAAGGTCAGGTGCTGCTTCCTACTCCCACACACTGCCCAACCTAGACTATAATCATCCACTTAAAGGCAGAAAGGGAAGCAAATTTTTAAACAGCACATGTGCCTTTGAGGGCACCTCTGCCTAGCTTTAAAGCTGATAAAAATGATGTGGGGATTTTCCATTATTTGGGAAAACCTAAGCTTCTTCCATTTCCGGCCCTCTGTCAGCATTAGAAAAGCATTTAGTGTGCTAAACAAGTCTCTGAAGAAACAATTTCCTGGGGCCTGAAATGGGTTCTCCAGCTCAAGAAGTGGGGAGTGTCAGCAGCGTTCACACAGACCCAGGGACATGAACCAGTGAAAAGGTGGCTCTTGACCAAAAAACAGCTTGAAACTTGCCCAGTGCCACTGCCCCTACCAATATACATACCTAGGATGGTTTTTAAGCATAAACATAAAATAGTGACTCCTTTTGGTGCTCACTTATAATTTGCAAAAAAAAAAAGGTTTCTAAGGCTTCCGCTAAAAGGTTTTCACTGAGTGTGTGCGGAGGAGGGGTGAGGGGGGAGCAGTGGAGGGTTGAACTGTTTGATGTCCTTCAGTTCTTTTCACCCTAACCACTTTCATTTCCAAAGGTGAAAACACACAAAAAAAGAATAAAAGATGGCCCTTGGAGCCGAGCTAACCTCAGCTATCAAGTACCCTCCAAGCACTAGCCCAGTCTCCCCAAGTTGTTCTTATTCATGATTTTATTTTAGAGTGCATCCTTATTGAACCTTCACACCTTGACTTTGATTCCACCTCTGGAATTCTAGATGTGAACTGTGTGGTTTCCCAAGCTAGAAACTCAGCTTTTCCTAGAGAAAAGTCAGCTTTTGTGAGAAATTCCTACTCTAGCTCTGGCCCTGAGGAAGCCAAAACTAGAACCCACAGTCATTCAACTGTGGGCACCACTGATGGAGGACAGATACCGCTTCAGGCTCACCCTACTGCATGATCTTTGGCCTTTAGCAAAACAGGGGTTCTGCAGCCTGATGCCTGTATCCTAAATATAACTAAGGGGCATAGAGCAGAGGAGTCCCTGGCATACCATGCTAGAGAGGCCCCTTCCACCGCTACCTTTCCAGTAAAACACTGTAGCATTTGCTTGTATCTGGGGTCCTAAATGAATAAGGGGAGATCTGTAGGAATGAACTACTGATTCTTCCTGGGTCTCATTAGATAAAAGGATAAGAAAGGGAGGAAACTATACTGGCCACCAGAAGGTTTCTGAGGGTATCTGTTATTTCAGGCAGGATTGTGATCAGGAGGCAGCTTGGCCTAGTGCCAGGTTTTCCAAAGTGTGTTTGTGGAAGTGTAGTTCTACATGGTTTATAATTCTAGGAACAAGGCCAAAAAAAAAGTCCCACCATCAAATAAGTTCAGGAGAAGTAGGTTTACACAGGTTTCTTTACTACAGGACTCCTCAGAGCCTTCAATGCGTTAATGTGCACTGTGAATCTCTAAGAAGAGCTATAGCGTCCACTGTTTCCCAAACAGCCTAGCAGGGGGCACTTTTCAGGGAAAGCATCTCAAAAACATCTATGGTTCCTAACTGCCTGATGCTGGCCCAGTGGGGCCTGCGGTTTAGAAGTCAGACAAACCAGAGTTTAAATTCTTCTCAGTCATTAATTCCTCTGCACCTCAATTTTCTCATAAGGAACTAAGGAGAGTAACATCGCTTACATACATACTTGTACTCAGGACTAGTGAGCAATTTTTTTTTTTTTTTTTTTTTTGAGAGAAAGAAAGAGAAGCATCGATGATAGAGAAACATCAATCGGCCACCTCCTCCACGCCCCCTACTGGGGATTGAGCCGCAACCTAGGCATGTGCCCTGACCAGGAATTCAACCAGCGACCCCTCAGTGCATGGGACTACGCTCAACCAACTGAGGCACATGGGCCAGGGCAGGAGCAATTCTCAGCTGATGAGTTAGGAGGGGCTATGCATGGGTGGGTACCCCCTGTGGCAGAAGTGTTCAAATGAAACTTATGTTTGCTCAAATCTCCTCCTTCCAAATACATTGTCCGGAACCTTCAATAGAAATCCCTTGGGTGTCTACAAGTTCTTCTATAATTGCTGATTCACAAGATATGGGCTCTTTTCCCCCGAGAGCACTAAGATCTGAAAGAATACTATACCAACAATAATAATAATAATAATAATAATAACAATAATAATGGCTAAAATCACCACTACTTATTAAGGGACTACTATTTACCCAGCACAATGGGTGCTTTGTATTTCTATTATTACAGTTAATCTTCACAGCAACCTTCAAGACGGCATCATCACTCCCATTTTACAGATGAAGAAACTGAGACTCAGAAATTAAATACTGTACTCCATGGCACAGCTGATCAATGGCAGAACTGAAGATCCACTATGTTTAATCTTAAAGAACAGAAATGTCTGTCCACTAAAAGGTTCGCTATGCCTTGGTTTCAGGATCCAATCTGATCAATCTATGTAAGCACTAAATCACTAAAGAGAATTCTTGAACGTTGCAAGGAATTTTGTTCCCCTTTCTTATAGACAGATGGAAACCCTGTGGTGCTGTGCAATAGCCAGAGGCCAAGGGAGCTAAAAAAAGACTTCTGAACATTCTGAACATGAAGTTGCACAATGGGGTTTGGGGAACACCCTGTGAAGAGCCTAAAAGAGTTTCTTAAAGTATCCCTTTCCCTCATTTTCTAGCTCTCACTCAAGTGACCACAGAGTTTTTCCAAATATCATGTTCATTTGAAATAGGCCACGACCCTTCAGGTTGCAAAGTCATTTTAAGATGATAGCAAGTGATTTGCAATCAGCATCTTTGAGAAAAATCAATCTGAGAAATTGCAAGGCAATAAAATAAACTCCAAAGAGTACACACTCCCTGTTCTGTTGCTACATAATATATATTTATAATGTAGACTTCTGCTTCCCCAAAATACCTAAGAACAAACAAACATATTACCTGGTTCTTTTGCTTGGCCAGTGCAGAGGTTTTTCCTCACCCCCCAAAAAAAACGTTCTCTATGAGGAATGCTGAGGTCTGAAAGAAAAAAGATAAAATTCAGCTCTCTCTGGAGCACCCCCTACATAGACACACGCACTCCACACATCTCACATCTCTGCAGCTCTCTGCAGGATGAGCTCCGGCTTAAATAAATCAAGAAATAAACACACACCCGCACACACAAAGAAATAACCCAAACAGGCCACGGCTGCTCTGCCTTTCAGCCTGGAATAGGAGCCCAGAGCCACAGATCCGGGAGAGGCTGGGCTCTGGCTAGGAGCCACAGCTTTCTGCCCCAACCCTGCCCTGTTCCGTGCTCAGAGATAAGGGATGTGCTCAAGTAATGGACTGCAGTCACATGACTGCTTCCAGGGGGACTGGGCTCTGTATGGGCAGGACCAGGCCGCAGTTTGCATAAATAAACTGCATCAGTACAAAGCATAAAAGAGAATTTTGGCAAATAAGGGCAGAAAAGCATTCAATGGCTGGCTCTTTAGGTCAATCAAGAATGATTTCTAGGAAACATTACAGTAACCTGGGTACGATTAAGAGAAGGAAGTGGAATCACTAAATGTTCCTCCTTAGGACTTGAAAAGGCATGGGTTAAGGGGGCAGCTGTTGGGTGCTGTGCTGCAAATTTATTTATATGACATTTTTATTCCTCCAGCTATTCAATTAGCTGCTTGTTGGAGAATCCATCTGTGAAAGAGATTCACCTCCCTCCATCAGCAGAAAACAAAAGGAAAGTTGAGTTGTAATTTTGCTGAGTTTGAGAAGGAAGAAGGAGGAAGACACACTTGAATAATCGAAGTGCGGATGTCAGTACTGGATGCCACCAGTCACTGTTCGGCTGTCTTTTGAGGCAATCAGGGGTGACCTGTTCCCAGAGTCTCACGCTGACTGCAGCTGCACTGACAGCAATTTTCCTCCCAAACTCTTCCTAGTTGGTTACACAGCGTAAGGCCTTAGCTTACTGGCCTTAGGCATCAAGAGTTAGGATTTAAAAGACTCCAGGCATAATTATTTCATAACCCCACCCAAGCTGCTCTTTAGCCAATTCCTTTCTGCAATTGGGGGCCACAGGAGATCCAGTAAAGCAGTTACCTAGCTTGCTATTTAATCTAATGGAGTCACTTTAGAAATAACTAGAAAGGCAGCTCTGGGCTTCTCTCCTCCTATTAGCATATTAAATATTATCAGAGGACCTCATTATCAGATAATGCAACTGTACAGGTTTCCATGGCAGGGACTCCAAGACCAGGACCTGATGAGGCTGCCATACACATTGTAAATGATAGCATAATTAGCCAGGCTCCCTAAAAAATAGTGGACAATGTCACTATATGGCTGAGTTTTCGGCCAAATGCCTATTCAATCCACAGTGATTAAATGATGGCTATGTCTAGTTACAGTTGTTCAAATGTCACCTCCTCTGTGTGAAGCCTTTCCTAAATCACCAAAGGGGACTTAGTCACTCTGTCTTCTGGCACTCAAAGCCATGTGTGTGGCCAATTATAGAACTTCCCAAAGTGCAGTGTAATTTTGTCCTTTTACATATGAAATCCTGAAGGGAAAGGATCTATTTCATGCCTCTTGGCATTCCCAGCACCAAATATTTGTTTAATCACAGAAAGAAAGAAAAGGAGGGAAAGAACTCATGATTTAGGTGATTATTTTAATGACCATTTTCTGGACCATGAATTGGATTGGCTGTGCCCTTTATGTGACTTGTCTAAAACTTAGAATATGCTTAAAATGAACTTCATCATATTTTTCCATTGTACAAAGAATGACAATGCTACTTTGAGCACCACAGAGAGTATTATGATCAGCATCCAATTATTAAATGAATGAGTGTTGGTGTATGTGAATAAATCACAATAACGATAGTACTTACCATGTTCTAGGCACCTACTAATTTTACATGTGTTAATCTTATTTAATCCACACACCATGGTATGAGGCATATACTATTATTATCCCTATTTATGCATTAGGAACTATAGCCCAAAGTCAAACAGCAAATCAGTGGCAGAGTTGGGATGTGAACCCAGGCACTTTGACTCTAGAATCTCTACTTATAATCATTACACTACACTGCCTCAGTCAGCACCTTGTATGTTCGTAAAATGCTGTTTCCAGCTTCTATTCAGTTGTTATCTGGCTTTCCTCCTGCTGAGGATGGATGTGTTGTCCTAGCCTGTAAAAAGGAAAAATAATGAGTCAATTTATCTCTCATACGAGAACAGCCAACAGAAAAGATGAGAGCTCATTTTCCCCCCAGAAAAGGCCATAGCAATACCAAATCATCCCTAACTAAGATGCCCTTGTGCTGTTTCATTCAATTCAACACATTTTTATTGAACACCTCCTATGTGGCAGGTACTGTGCTGAGGGATGAACATAAACAGTGAACAAAATGGAAATGATTAGGTGAGGCAAACACATAGGTAAGTGAGAAATTAAAAGCTGTCTTCCCTATTGGAATATAAGCTCCAGGTACCTAAAACAGTGCCAGACACATATATTTATTACATGAATAAATGAAAGCAATACAGCGTGATAAGATCTCTAACAGGACAGATAGAGGATACAGAAAAAGAGCCCCATCCCAGAAAGGGGGATTAAGGAAGGCTTTCTAGAAGTGATACCCAGGCTGAGACCCGATGATTGAGCAGCCAGAATTAAGAGTTAGCCAGAAGAAGAGGTAAGGGAGAGATGAGGGTGTTCTTGGAGACATGTATAATTTACAGTTCTTACCGAGGATGTGAAATTGGAGAGGTGAAGTAAAAATCAGAATAAACTGTGGTCCTAATTATAATGCTGCAGTTAGACTTCCCACAGGCTAGAGAAAAGTGTCTGTCTGTTACGATTGAAAAATGGCTGCTTCTCCACCTCTGTAGGCAAGATTTACTCTTTCTTGGCTGTCTTGGCTGTTTCTCTTTCCTTTCTCACTTCCCCACTCCCCTACTGGGTTTGCCTTCACCTTCCAAATAAACTCCTTGCTCTCAAATGCTTGTCTAAGGGTCTGCTGCTGAGGGAGCCCAAACCAGCACCTTGGTTAGTCTACAGTAGTAGCAAACTATGGAAAGACAGAGGGGATGGAGAAGGCTGGTTACCTCACAAGGGAGAGACTGGGCATTGCAGGCCAACTTGTCCTATTTCTTTTTTAAAATATATATATATATATCTTTATTGATCTCAGAAAGAGGAAGGGAGAGAGAAAGGGGGAGGGAGGGAGAGAGAGAGAGAGAGAGAGAGAGAGAGAGAGAGAGAGAGAGAAAGAAACATCAATGATGAGAGTCATTGATCGGCTGCCTCCTGCACACCCCCCACTGGGGATCGAGCCTGAAACCCAGGCATGTGCCCTGACTGGGAATCAAACTGCGATCTCCTGGATCCTAGGTTGATGCTTAACCGCTGACCCATGCCAGCCAGGCCAGCCTGTCCTATTTCACAAGCTTCCTAGAACTAGCCACAGTTCCATTTTCTACCAAGGAAAAGTAATTCTAATGAGTCATAATACCATGGGGAGTATGCTAGAATCTAGGCAAAGCATCTGGATTTGGGAGTAGACTGAGAAAACAACATGTGCAGATCTGTTTGGTAGTGAGTACTTAAGGTGTCTGTCCACTTGTGCTCCCTGATACCTCAATGCCCGATAGCACCAAAAGTGGGTAGCACAGATAGGGCTGGCCTCTCAGCAAGCCTTCTGGTGCTGGGGCTAGTGGTGGGCAATCATACCCTCTCCCGGCTTCGTAGCACCTGGTAGTCTCCAAACTGAGGTACCTACCCCACAGCAGCAGCACAGATCTGTTGGAGAATAGAAAGCAAAACATTAGAATTTGTATTTTTATCTATTCTCTTATTCTTTTTGAATTTTCTATTTTTATGCATGCTTCGTAATATACACAATATATGAGTTCAGCAGTATTAGTTGCAAATAAATAAACAGACCTGTATTAGGCATCCATTCTCAGAAAGCTTTTACTGTGAGAGATTCACAATCAAAAACATTCGAAGAATCTTGATTTAAAGAACCTGTTCCCTTTTGAAGAGAGAGAAGGAATAGCAAGTAATATTACATTTAAATAAAGAGAAAGAATCACATATATTTTTAGGGATAAGTTCAGGGTATTGAAAAACCACTTTAAGTAGGAGAAAAGGGAAGCCAGATTTGGCAAGTAATTAGGAAGTCATTCAAAGAAATCAAAGGTGGGTTACAGCAACCTACCGATGTACACAACATGGATGAATCTCAAAGGCATTATGCTGAGTTAAAGAGGCAGGTTTAAAAGGTTGTGTACATTTATATGAGAGTTTCAAAAAAAAAGAAGAAACCAGCAGTGATGGAGCACTGATCAGTGGTTGCCAGGGTTGATGGGTAGGGGAGGGTGTGACTGCAAAGGGATAGCAGAGGGAGTTTTGGAGGGTGATGCTCGGTATCCTAATTACGATGGTGGTTACACTCATCTATCCATGTGTCCAAATTTACAGAACTGTACAGCAAGTCAATTTTACTGTACACTAATTTAAAAATAAATTTTTCAAAAAGCTTTAAAGAGCTGGCTCTGGTTTATTGCCTTGGGTCTGCAGATATTAAAGTCCCCATGGGCTGACTTTGACTGCCAAGGGCCCTTTCTAAGTCACAGCCAGAAGCAGTGTTTTCTGCTGTAAACTATGAGCACTCAGGAAGACACTTGCCCTTGCCTCTGATTTTACTTTTAGCTCTCTAACCACGGGCAAAACTCAAAGAACAGAGCTCCCAACCAGAAAACACAGCCCATCCACTCTTTACTCAACGGATACTTACCGAGCATGTTCCAGCTATAAGGCAGGGACACAAAGATGAGCGAGCTGTACAGGTGTACAGTGTAATGAGGGACATGGGCCTGTCCACAAATAATTTCAAAACAGGAAGTGTAGGTCCAGAGATAAGCCACTTACTATTAGAGTCCAGAAGTATATCAGTTCAGTCAGGACAAGTCAGGAAATGTTTCAAAGAATATTAAAAGGTGGGAAAGGCATTCCAGGGAACATGGGAGCATGTTATATCTGAATAATGTTTCCTGAGACTGGGGGCTAGAGGGCATATAGAGTGGAAGACGGGGACGTGAACCTGGAGAGGTAAATTGGTGCCAACTGTGATCGTTCTTGTAAATCGTAACAAAGAATTCAGAGTTTAACTAGTCAGTCGGGGATTGCAATTACGAATGCTTACATGAGCTGGGGCAGATAATATAAATGAATAAAGCAGCCTAGATGGAAACAATGGGACATTCTAGAGAGTTTTGTCTACATGAGGCAGCTGCTACTTACTGGTAGCTCCCTCTTAGGTTGCCATCTAGAAATCCTGGCCCAGTGTTGCCCAATATAATTTTTCAAGAGAAGCTGCACATATTTTTATGTAAAATCTCCCTATTTTTAAATGTGAGTATATCTACAAATTTAAGATGCCATCGATTATAAGGTGCATCACTATTTCATGTACCAATCAAAAGAAAAAGGCCGCCCGGGGCTCAGAGGTTGAGCATCGACCTAGGATCCAGGTGATCGGGGTTCGATTCCCGGTCAGGGCACATGCCCAGGTTGTGGGCTTGATCAGTGACTCTCTCCTCATTGATGTTTCTATCTCTCTCTCTCCCTCTTCCTTCCTCTCTCTGAAATCAATAAAGA